AGCTTCTCTGCTCTGCATACTTTCAAAGTCGATATGTGGCTGCTAGATTTGACATGGACTGATTGTATCTGGGTGTCCACTCCAAGAATTCTGGTGGCTGCATCCAGAACTTGAATCTCCAGCTTCTCTGCCTCTGTGTATTTTCCCAGGTTTCGATATGTGGCTGCTAGATTTGACATGGCAGTGATTGTATCTGGGTGTTTCACTCCAAGAATTCTGTTCCTTGTATCCAAAACTTCAATCTGTAACTTTTCTGCTTCTCTTGCAAATCCTTGTTTCTTCAACAATCTCCCACACTTGGCATAAGCATCATCTAAGTAAGTGATACCATTCTTGTTACTTTCTGATCTGGAATGCTCCATATTTGCTCTTATATGTGTTACCAAGGCCCTCTGAAATCCATATGGCTGGTCTTTACCCCATCTTAGTGAACAAGACAAAGTAACATATGCCATTAAGCAGCATTGTTTCTTCTCATTTGAAAGCAATCTGTCTCTGCCCCATACATGAACCAGTGGATGCATTGCATACACACCATCAGATGGACCTTTTTTGATCAAGGAGAATGACAGTAATATTTGAACTCCCTCTTTAAAGAGAAATTTATCCCAAGTGCCTGATTTATTAAGAGCAAGTAGTCTCCGGTCCAGCAGAGAACTGGCAAGAGGCAACTTTGAGCCAGAAATTTTCTTATCTTCTTGAAGAGCAGCATAAAAAAAGATGTCTTCAGTAATCCCCTCATGATGGAAGAAAGGAAATAATTCCAGAAGGAGCATTGCACTATTGGCTGCTTTGGCCTTATGAGAATCATCAGATTTAGCCCTTCTCTGAATTTCTTTGTATGATAGCTCCCAAGTTTCATAGACAGTTTTGTTATACTTAGAAGCTCCAGTAAAATCTGAATGAAATAATAATGTTTTTCGGTGCTCTGAATATGTTGCAAGGTAGTCTCCAATAGTGGTTGCTCCAGAAGCAATGTAAGCACCAGCCTGATCAATTGCCAATGGAACACAGAAGAGCTCTTTGACAATCTTAGAAGCTTC